CGTCTTCTCAAACTTCCCTTTCATTGGCTTGCTAAAGAAATACCATCTTTATGGTACAAGCCTCGCAGCAGTCATAGACTGAGAGAAGACAAATCCACCTTTTGATCGACTATAAAATCTAGACAATGTTGGACGCATTTTCAAGCTCCACCAAGGTTAAGGCAAAAGGGCTACTCTGCAATGCTGTATTCTCGCCATGCAAAGAGCACCGCAGCCTGCATGTATGTTCAGCAGGTTAAGGGTACATAGTGGATTTTGAAGGCTTCTATAAGCATTCTTCTGAAATTTATGAGTTTCTCTACCAGCTGACTCTAATTTTTCAAAAATTGAATGTCGTGTACTTTCCACTGAGCAAATATATTTTGTCATAAACTTGCTCAGGCTAGCGGATGATTTTAGTGAGAGAGGGCTCCATTGGACAATGCAGAGTAGAAGAATGAAAAGGCCTCAAAGTTATTTGGTGACGCTTTTTTAAAATCACTCTAAATAAGGTTAGAAATGTCACAATCCATTGTGTTACGTCTTGATTGTCTTTCCTCAGCACTATCTCACTTAGAAAGCCTAGTATGCTTTGTGTTCTTAAAGAGAGTTACGAAAATCGCTGTGGTGTTGTGTTTGCATGGAAGCAACACTTTTCTAAACAACTGTAGGCAAGCCGATTTGAGCCGACTTCTATAGGGTCCTGTGCGTTTCGAACTATCTCTGTGTCTTTCAGAGTGTGCGAGATGGTAATGTTTTGTATGTACAGAGTATTCTGTATTTTACAAAATGGCAGGAATAACAAAGTCCATTTGCCAGCAAATTGAAACCACTTTTGTACCTATTTAGGCACTTCTCACAAAATTTAATTATATTTTAGATGCTGTCCAAAACGTGTATCTCCTTTTACTCAACGTGCTACGAGTGGTTTTCCACCATTTTCCATTCTAGCACAGGCGATTTGAAGTAAAGCTTACTTAGTTAGCTTTGTCTAAAATTTACAAGGATTATTCTGTGTTCCATCTTTTCAAAGATTGAAGCAGCACACATCACTCACTCATCACTTCTCTACAAAATTGGTAAAAACTTTGAATTTAACCTTTTGACTGTGCAACTGACTGAAGATGCGCTGCTAAATTTCTTTTTGTGTAGATCTTTCCTACAAGTTTATTTTTCTTTGAGGTATAAGCTACAAATGGTAGACTATGCTTCCTGTTCTTAGAAGAGAAGAGGTCCTAAAAATAATGGTAATAATTACTAACCTTGATGCCCTGAAATTGAACATAACGCGTTCATCGGAGACAAATGTTAGTACTGGAAATATGGCGAAAGGTAGTTGTACCA